GGCATCAAACAGAAGAATCGAAATTTTTCATCGGCTGAAGAAAAGGAAGAATACGAATCGAAACGTCGATACAATCGATATTCGTCTACACCAAGAGATCAAATGTAGCGCAGTTTCGTTTTTATTGTTTCCCACATTCGCCAGGGAATTCCCGATGAACGCTGATTGCGAATCGGCTGAACGTAAAAGAAACAGACAAGTCACTCGAAATAAAGACAAAAAAAAAACGATTCTTTCAGTGACCGAGTGATTTTCGACCCATAAATTAGTGAACTTCTTATTTACAATCCGTTACAGATAACCCCCGTATAACGCGGTTGTTACGTTCCTAAAAAATGTGATGTTATACGAGTCTGTATTATACGAAAGAAAGAACTAGTGTAAGAAAAGGAGTTAGGTTCTAAAAATTTGAAAAACAATTATCATTTTTGAAAGAGACACCCGAAAAATGTTAATCTATGTATAATGTAGTAAAAAGAAAACACAAAGTTTTAAAATATACTTAATACTCCATAAACAAAATAGGATTTCAAATTCCAATAAATTTCAAAACTCAGCAGACAAATCTGATATGACATTACGCTCAAACGAAAAATTTCAAATGAGATATCTTCGCACTTACAAATTCTTATTTCGTTCCGTGTTGTACGGGGATTTCTGTAATTTCGAATGTTGCTCTTAAAAACTTTAAACACTGTACTGGGATTTCTGTAATTTTCAAACCGTGAATCTAGGATGTCGTGTTATATGAGGGTTTTTTCCAATTCTCAAAGCGTATCAGAGTGAAACCGTGCTATAGAAATACCGTATTATGCGGGGGTTATCTGCACTTATAAACGAAATGAGATCGATCTTTTCGGCGATTCAAGACGTCTGAGTCTCGCGTCAAAGTCAAGTATAGGATTTATCGAATGAAGCTCGGAAGACCCATTCAGTACTCACATTGGCCTAACTCAATATTTCCCTTAATGAACAGTTTGCCGGGGAACCCACTTAACATGATTAAATTCTGCGTACTTTTGCTTTATCCACGCTTGCCTCGGACCAAAGGAAGAATTCCGGCTTCGTTTGTTAGCAACATTTTACTACTCTTTGATACCGTTTACCGTCGTCTTTCCTTTAAATGAACTATGAACCTACTACTGCTAAGAACTAGAATTAATCTGTCGTGGGAAAAGAGTTCCGCGATAAGAATGAGACTAACGCAGTGTAATGAAATAGGGAAGGCAAAGATGGATAGGAAGTAACTGCAGATAAAGAAGGTTTGCTGAAAAGTAATTTTCTTAGAAAGAGTAGATCTTCATCTTTAATTGAAGAGTGCTTTCAAGAGAGTATGGACTAATACATCTGAAGATATATTTTTTAAAATAAAACAATAATATTTAATAAAGTAAATATAAGTAGGCATTAGTAAAGTAATAACAGTAATGAATAAAATGTCAATTTTATATTTATCTTTCATGTTACACAGAGATAGTGAGATGCTCGAAAAACATGGTCAAGACAAACTTGAGAAAAGCCACAATAAGATTATTCACATTGAAATCTAAAGAACTATTACTATTAGTGCTGTTTCATTATTAATTACATTTAAAAAAATAATTTCGTTATAAAAATGAATAATTAATTACAAAAAAAAACTAAACATTGTAAACATCCGCTATCTTGACAAAATAGGATCTTAAGAATCACGAAAGCACATCTACAATCGTATTGTTTGTTTACACATAAACATGAAAAGAAAAAGCCACCCCCATGATCCCATAGTCGATTTTGTTTCTCCGTTCTTCTGAATAAGCCCGCGAAGATATGCTAATCGAGAAAAAGATGCATAATGGAAAAAGCCCGGAGTCTAGTAAAAGCAACTAGTCCAAAGATCGCGTGATGATATTTCACATTCCGCGAATAGCGAGTCCCTACGGAAGGAGAAAAGAGACGGATGACCGGACATCCGTCTATCTTGACTGCACGCGTACTTATATGCGGCCGGTTACGAAAGGAGAACTTAAACTCGGCGGAATGCGACATAAGAAACCGGCTCTCCTCGCGAGCGAACGGCGAACAGCGAAAAAGACTCCGAGGATGTTTTTCAGGCCGGGGTACGACCATCTTCGTCGCGAATTCAAGAGAATCCTTGATGCGCTATTTTGTCATCGACACTGCGCGTTGCTGATAGCGATAGAACTGCGGCTGATCAGCGCAATTCGCCGCAGTTAACCTTTTACGATCCAATTCGCGTCTAGTTTTCTTTATCGTTTATATCGACAGACCTGTATCAATTCAAAGGTTAACGATGCCAAGGAAAAATAGGGAAAACTGCGTGCACGCCATTCAGGAAATTGCTTCTGTAGAAAAATGTTATCAGAACACCGCGAAGACGATTTGGTGTAAACTTTTCTCGTACGAGTAAATTGTTATGGTGATAGGTTTATTGTTATATAGGATACAATTAAAAAATTATTCTGATTTTATAATTCGTTTATAGTATAATGTATTATATTTATAGTATAAATGTTTCAATATATGTTTTCAAATGCAAAGCAATTATTAATTCGATGTATGTTCTGTACAATCGAAAATTTTTATTTTATACCCTAAAATTAAGGTTCGAAAACTTTCTTCTATTGAAATAGACCATAAACACTCACAGTGATAAGGTCTACAATATAGAAAGTTTGCGTAGAGTTTAATGCTCTGAAAAATACCAGTTATCTGCGATGGTATGTAAGATATCTGGCTGATTAAATATTAACTGCATTCATGCGTTATGCAATGTTTAATTCTTCGAAGTTTTTCGATTACTGTTCTAATCTTTATGCAATTACCATACGAAACACACTTTTTGATTATTCTACAGTAAAGATTCAATAGTTCAGAAACAAATTTCATAAAATATTAGAAACAACAATTCCTTTCTTTCAAGGTACATATCCGATTAAATTCCAATATAAATTATACGTCAATATATCCATTAACGTATTCAATGCACCCATATAATACACATTTCATAATTTGCCTGTATCATATTCTTTATTAGAATATATAAACACACAATGAAAAAAAAACATATTTCAATAAACAACTAATTAACACTTTGACTGCTAAGTAAACACTCATCAAAACTTTTATGTAGTTGTCACAGTTTTCTTAATAAAGCAGAAATTAAAAAGTCAAAATTCTTTATAACGACTGCTCTAGTATCTTTTTTATATCTCGTGCATCCAACAATATCCGGTTTGTTCGATACGCTACCAAGAGAATTAATATTCAAGTTTACATAAAGAATGGTGTCACCCGAATTCGGCTGACCTAACAGTTAAAGTGTTAAAAGTTTGCATCTAAAGCGAATTTAAATACATATTCCGCGTATTAAAATTTCCAAATTGGTCTGATTCACGAGCAAACACGAATGTTCCGATTATATAATAGCACCGCAAAAGAAAGTTTTCCCATTTGAATCGAACAGCGAAATTATTTTTCCAAATTTCAAAAACGAAACCTCGGTGTTCCGCAAAACGAATACGATAATATTTTCTTCTAAATTGAACGTCACCGACACGCCACCGCGTCGCGCCGCGTTCCGCGAAAAACGCTCCGCGATTGAATTGTTCGTGCATTCCAAGCCCCGGGTCAGTCCCATCACTATACGTTAGTAAGGTAAGGCCAGGCGCACGCCCATCCGGTCGACCAATCAGCGGCCGCTACGTCATCTCGTACGATGTAACGGAGAGACTCACCCACGTGGTAAGCATCGCGCTATTTTAGTATCTTGCAACGAGAAAATTTACCGACCGCATGCTCCTCTCCTCGCACGACTATTCTAGAATTTCGCAGCGATTAATTGCCTGTTAATTACTCACGAGGACGGTCAACCTCGTCTCCAGTCTGTTTTTTCCGTCAACGTTGTGTCTCAAGCTTGTTTCACGGATCCTATAACGCTAATAAGCGGGTGCATCGCTATGGCGTGCGGCAACATATGGCGTAGAAACAATCACGGTTCGTTCCGATTTCGCACTATATCTCGTTCAATTGGCTAATTAACGCGTTCACCGCCGCGAAAATTTGTAGGGCTTTTTATAATATTACTTATTTCTTTGTAACAAATACGAACGATATTAGAATTAATTGTTAACGATTTGGTGTAGTTAGTTCGTAGTTCTCGAGTTACACTATTATCCGGTTACTTGGGTTGTTAAATATTTTTATTTGACGCCAGTTTTCTTATTACAATCGTTTTTAAGGAATTTGAAAGCTCCGGGCATTGGTGAGCGCCGTGGCAGTGAACGCGTTGAACGCGACTTTCAAACACCGGTGATACGGTCCCCATTGTATTGTTCACTGATTTTCCTCATTCACGACGTTCTGAGTTGACCGAACGATAGAAAGTGGGAAACGATTGCGAATGTCATATACATATTCAAATCGTTGACTTACACAGTGATTGGTCGATGTCGAAACTGCTGAACTGGATTGTTTACGCGATTAATAAGTCGTTCTCGAGACACATACATAAGTACGTCTGTTCTGAATGAAAACAAGGCGAACGGATGATACGTGAATCTGTGTGCGCGTCGAGACGCGTCTAGGTCAGTTAATCGTTAGTCATTGAGACATCAGAAAAACAAACATACTCGACCGTTCACGTAATACGCGGTTATCTCGTTAGATTCGACGGCTATTTTGAAGAACTCGTCCGCGGAACGCATTCATGGACCGGAAAATTAGACCTAAAGATAGAACACCGATAGAACGCTGGTTTCAACGCACGTCCGACAATTCAACCAATGTATCGAAGAACCAATATTCGTCTTACCTTTTTAAATCTCCGATTAACAAGTAATTAGTTTAATAATTATACATACAGACACACTTTTACTTTAATGTTACGCTTAGTTTCATCGAATCGAAAACAGCCAATCCTTCGATTGGAGTAGAGACGGGTCACAGGTTTCCAAATCCAAAGCGAAAATAAAATAAGAAACAAAACAGAAATTACTCACGGGAGTAGAATGCAGTTACAATCAGTGCAAGCCAAGACAATTGTTTCTCCACAAGATTTCTCATTTCTAGCGAGCCTCGAAGTCTTTCACAGATTCGTTTTGCCGGGTGGACCGCAATGGGAAATACGAATAGGAAAAGTTCACGCACCAAAGAAAGGTTAGCCGTTCGGAAACGCAAACGTTCGTCGTTCGTTCCGAAGCGAGCGTTATATTCGAAGGGAGCGTGAAAAGCGATGAGAGAACGCGTAACACGCACGTTTCTCAGACACGTTCAGAAATTGAAACGAGCACGAGCAGTCAACGTACCCGCTCCACGTAATCCGTACTACGCGACCGGCTGTGCACGACTGGCTCATGGGAATGCATTTTGGCGGCACGAAGCTTTAAAGGCGTGCGCCGAGAGCGCACGCGTGGATCGCATCACGCCACCGAACTCGTTTGGAGGGGCGCGAGACTGCTTCTTTCTCTTTCGCTACACACCTCTGATATTTTCTCTATTACGCTCTGTTTTACCGGACCACGCTGGCGCCGCCGTCATTACGGCTTTCGTCGAAGCAACGCGTAAGATCATTAATTGAGAGTCGTCGTTGGAACAACGACGAGCCACCCAGACTTTGTGTTTCCTTGCAAACGGAATTTAATTAAGAAGAGGGTATCGTTGTCGGCGGACAATAGCGACAGATAATTAGCGGATTTTGACGGAACGCGGCTACGCGTCTGATTACCGTGCTGTGCAACAGGAATCAACCCCCTTGTCCCGACACCCCGCCTTCTTGCTCAACCTGATCGTCGAAATACTGTTCGACTACTCCTGATCGGAATAATGAATAAGGGAATGCCGAATGCGATTCGCCTGTTCTTCGTTTATAGAAAGACTTTAACCCTTTGCGCTCCTATGTCCAGCGTGACTCGACACCAGTTTTATTCACAGGTGTTCTTCTTTGTTAAGATATTTTTAAAATAGATTATATTATTATGTTGTTTTCAATATTATTAGTAAGATTAATTGCTTACACTGCTCTCTACAAACTATATGTTTTTTAAAATGCATGTCAAATAAAATATCGTAATATTACAGAGATATTGGGGAAAAAATGCAAAAGAAATTCGGAGTGGAAAGGGTTAACGCGTTGACTGCCACTAAGAACAGCAGTGTTCTATGTACCGCTTATCCTTTCTCTAGTACAGATAAAGGAAAGAACTGTTAATTTATTTGGTATTACGAGTCTTACGTGCACTATTGTCTAGGTACATACGTTATTGAATATTTTTATTCGATACCGGTTATCTTACAAGTTATAATTATTTTCTTGTAATTTGGAAGCTCCGGCCATCGGTGACCACCGTGGTAGTCAACGTATTAAAGATTTAATAATAAATTGAAATTAATACGAATTTTGCAGAATCGAAGTAATTTATTTGATAAAACAAAATGAAACGTTAGAATTCATGATTACTTTTTTAACCCAATTGTGCTTGTCAATCTGTCTATACATTTGAAATATTTAAAAGTAATAAGTAAGTAATATTTAATATTCTTAATATTATATTAATAAAAAAGTAATATTTAATATTCTCAAATTCAAATTATCCCGGACAAAATGAAGACACGATTAACCTAAAAAGGATTAAATAAACCAAATACTGCTAAAAATGAGAAAGTGGTTGCGTCAAAAAGACTAGAAGGCTGATGAAATTGTTCAACCACTTCATGTATTATGAAAATTTGTAAATAAATGATATGTATTGCGCGTAGCATTAATTAATTCATGACTATTTATAATCATTATATACTAACTTAATTCATTTTGTGTTTCCCGTATTCTTATGTAAATTATTAAGCACCGCAAATGTGAGAACAAATTAAATACAATAGAATTGTTTATGTGTGAACATCCATTGTTCAAATACCCTCGTGTTCGAACGCTTTACCATCCGATGTTCTATTATCCGGAAAGTCTATCACCTAGTAACAAGCGCCTTCTCTTGTCACCATGACGTAGAGTTTACGCATAATCTATTCCTCGAAATTCCTTTATTCGAGTACATAAACTGTGATTACAACGATTTAGAATGAAAAATTATGTAGTTGTTCATATAAGAAACGATTTTAACGAATAAAATATTTTTAAAAGACTATCAATTCTCTGGATTTGCATTTAAGTAGAATAAAATTTAGTTAATTCGTTTATATTGTATTGTAAACGATTCTAAAAATAAAAATTGTCATATATTTTCAATAGATTTATTCTATATAATGAATATTTGCAATTATTATCATTAAATATGTTTGTAGCAATTTTACTAAATGAATATGATTTCTTTGCTACTTCTAAATTAAATTTTTCTTAGACATGCTTATTTATCATTAGCGTTTTTACTTTAATGTACTCCGACATACTTAATCTGACCAATTAACAATAAAATTGAATAAAGGAAGCTTATTAGATCTGGTTATAAATTTTTATAATACGTAAAATGATTCAAAGTAATCTTTCGATGCAGTTCAAACTGAATAATGCATGGGGATTAGGAAAGGAAGAATCGGAGTTTCCTTCTACTTCTCGATAGCAATTACCGTATCATAAACCCGCGCAGACTCGAACCACACAACTGCGAGCGACTGGTGCTGTTCGCCTTGAATGTTCTTTAATCCTACTCACGTATTTAATTAAACTAGTGAAATATTAGTAACATTGTGAAATAACGTCGCCTTTTTGTATCAATAATTCAAATTTACTTTTGCCACTCCGAATAACTTTTGTAAAACAGTATGGATATTAAATCTTATGTAATACCTACTTCGTGCTAACATATGCCGCAACACCTTTAAATATATGGTATGTTCTTATTAACGTGTAAACTGAAACAATGACTAAGAGAATACAATATGAATTAGAAAGAATTATTATGCCATGACCTATTAAGTTTATTCCTGATTGTATTTGCAATCGACGTCACCAAGAACCAATTAATTGTATGCTGTTTGTACCAGGATGGAAAGTTCATTCCGAAATCTATTAAAAAGATACAACTTTTACAGACAGCTATTTCAAAAGCCCAAGGGGAATTAAAGCACAGCAATGAGTACGCTATTCGAGTCGATATTGTAAATAGAGATTTCTAATGGTGACGAGATAAGAGGATTTTCCCTGAAAGTAGATTATGTTCACCACGGAAACGCGAATACATTGCAGAGACTTATACAGGACGTGTCAGAACATGCGGGCATAAAATCATTGATCCAGCTCATCGGGGGAAACAATTTATATAAATGTTTCCTTAACCTTATTCTGTGTTTGTTCTTATTCCTCATTCTAATGGCGACTTTGATCTTTGATATCTAACATCGAAAACTGCAAATGAATACTGCATTCAAGTAATAAGTCTTTAATAATTCAGTTTTTTTATAAAAAGAATTGTTAGAAGTTTAAAAAATTCTTGTCTGCGAAGACTTAATATCCCTTTTGTATTGTACCAGTTTTTTACCTATCTTCATAGAAATTATTCAATCCAACCACTTTTAACACGAATTCAGGCTTTCAGATGGCTTAGCCGTTTCATAAAATTATTGTCTGAATTCGTTGATAACTCTCAATAATGTACTGTCGAAATATATCAGTAAATATACCCAAAAATACAAGTTAAGAAACAAACCAATTTTAATAAACAACGTATTTATTTGTTGTGCATGTTCACAGATAATTGATGATAATTGAGGTAGATAGTGAGAAAAAGTATGTTTAGATTATCCTTGGAAAATGATTTGGTATCTTAATGTTTGTCAGTGATGAAATAGTTAATTTAATACAGTTAATTTAATTGGATTCATTTATTCAGGAATTGCTTGTTCAAAAACTCAGTTGCTAATTGAATAAAATATAAACATAAATATATAATATATACATAATACATAAACCAAAATAGTAAAGTTGCATAAACCAAATACAACGAATAACTTTAAGTAGAATATCTTCTAATAATTCACCTACATTTTCTTTTATACAATGCACATGTGATTCACCGGTTAATTTTCCACTTAGAAAAACTGGCTCAATATTTATAAACAATTACAGGCAATCTCTGATGAAGTGAGCTTTATCCATAAAGAATAAGTAAAAACTAGCTTCAGAAGGTAGCACATAGAAGATGTCAATATAAAGAACACTGCCCTTTTGGAACATGACATGTGTAAAGTATAAGGTAATCACTTTTTCAAACAATCACATGATCCACGTTCTCTGCGCCTACAATCTATGAATACTGTCTCTATCATCTTGATTGATGCATTTTTGTACCGACTCCTTCAAAAGGAGCTTTCAAAATGAGTTTTTGTATATACGAGCATTTGTATAATCTACTGTTACCAATTCAAATGAACATTGTCGCAGAATTATTACTTTTAGTTTTTGTATGTGCAAATGCTTTTTACGTGTATATGTGCTGAATTGATTTAGCAACATTGTAAGGCAATATTTGCGTAATCACCAATAAGACGATACATGACATGGCATATATTTTTTTATAAGTAACTAATGAAGTTGAACTCAATTTGTCAAAAGAGTTATTGCAAGGTAAATACGACTATAATGTAGATATATGTTCAGCTGAGACAAACGTTTATGTGAATTTCTTTTCTTATTGCAACATACTGAATCGATCAGCAAAGTTACGTTCATATATTTTGGTACGCTCTATATATACATAAATACTTATTTACTTGACTGCTTGTGTAACAGGAGCTCAGACAGGATGTTGAAAAAGTAATTTTTACTTTTTTATTCAAAGATCACTTGTTTATAAAGGTAAAAGCAATAAATATATAAAAAAATGTACTTAGCCCATACAAGCAAGATGCTTTATGCTTTTTTATTTCTCTTTTATATTTCCTTTGCTCAAAGCAATTCATATTCGAAATTATAAAAATTACTTCAAATGAGTATGAATATTTCA